TCAAATACCGGCCAAAACCGCGGTTTTTAATACCGTTGCCTACCGCGTTTTTTTTGAAAATTTTTTTCCGTGGGCATCGGCATGAAAGTAAGATTTATATGATTAATTGATTTATTTAAATAGAATGTTTTTTTCTTTTAAAGACGAACAACTCTTTTTGGTACATTAGATTATTAATCATCAGAAATGTTTAATGTGAATGGTTATGATGAAAGAATTGATCTTTGGTGTCTTGGTGTTCTTACATATGATATGGTAATTATATTCTATTTGTCAATTAAACTATTTGTTTTTTAAAGATTATTGGTAAATCATCATTTGATAGTCAACACTCAACATGAAACCATTCGAATGATACGATCAATTGAATTGACATTTCCTATTCGAACGTCATCTGATCTTCGTGATTTAATTACGAAAGTAAATTAATTAAAAAATTGTCTTTTTTTGTGAGAAAGTTTTTTATTTTATTTTAGTTACTTCGTGGAAATTCAACTGATCGATTACCTTTGAAAGATGTTGCAAAATATGTTTGGATATTAAAAAATGCAGATATAGCTGCTATTGGAGATAGCAATATTAAACGAAAGAAAATATTAAATAGAGAGAATTATAATTTCAATATTCTATTTAAATATTTCGACTTTATGTTTTATATTTCTTTGTATATAAATATCAATAATTCTATTCTGTGATTTGTTCTCTTAGATTTCTATGTAATATATATGTGTGTTAAATAGTTATTATGACATTAAATTCAGTTCTTCCAGATAGTAAAATCAAGTCATTATAATAATATAAACCAGATCTTCTACCGGTAACGGTAAACGGTGGGTTTGGCCCGATTCGGTGAAGAATTTTTGACCGGCCGGTGTTACGATACATTCAATGTGTGATAAATATAAAAACATTCGAACAGTAATCTCACGAATTCTATTCGTTATAAATGAGAAATGAAAAACAATTTAGGCGGTTGCAGTAGAAATTAAAATTCAGCAGAATTTAAAATTGTCCTAGGACAAATCAAAATTTTAATTTCTCCTACAGTAGAATTTTAAATATTCTTATAGGAGAAATTAAAATTATAATTTTTCCTAGAATAATTTTAAATTCTACTGAATTTTATTTTATACTGAAATCATGGACACATTAGAAGACCTCCACCTCGCATCATTTAAAGGAGATCAACTCTCGAAACAACGATGCTAAAGACAGATTTGAAGACCCATCCACCCGCTCCAAAAAGACTTATCAGAAGAGATGAATGAGTTTTTTAATCTGCCATTAGCGTTGCTTATTCAAGGGAAGACCCCTCTACATTGAGGGACAGGGGGTCTTCTAATGTGTCCATGGCTTTGCAACATATATATTCTTTCTAGATAAAATAAAGAATCATTTTTCAAGCAAAAATGGACGAAAAACTAATTTTTTTTTTTGACGTAAGTACAAAACATTCTCGGTACGTTTATATTATATTAATATATTTCCTTTGATTTAGACGTCTATTAATCTATACCACGTTTCAGAAGTAAATGATGAACAACAAACATCATGTGCTGAACCAGTATGATTAAAAAATGTGTTGTTTTTGAAAAATAGATTTTTTATTTAGTTTACCAATTAGTGAAAATAAATGTGAAAAACTTAAATCATGTCAACATCATATTTGTGATTTAGTAAATTTATTTATATAAATTAAAATTTTATTTTATTATTTAATTTTAGATTTGTCATCCACGAGAATGTCAACCATGTGATCAATTAATTAAACAAACATGTTTATCACATGGAACTGAACGTGAAGTTTTATGTACTAATGAAACTGGTGGTACAAAAACATTTACATGTGGTGAATCATGTGGAAAATTACTTTTATGTGGTCATCATAGATGTACAAAAACATGTCATGATGGACCATGTCCAGATTGTTTATCATTACCAGAAAATTGTAAAACATGTACTTGTGGAAAAACAATTATGGATAATCAACAACGATCATCATGTATTGATCCAGTATGATTAAAAAATTAATTTTTTTTTTTTTTGAAAATGAGATTTTTTTATTTAGTTAGCAACTTATGAGAAATTATGTGAAAGAATTCTATCATGTGGCTCGATCGATGATCCTCATCAATTTTTAACTCAATGTCATAATGGACCATGTCCATCATGTAGTACACAATTAATTCTTCAATGTCGTTGTGGAAAATCAAGTAAATCAATATCATGTATAGAAGCAATAGAACATGATCCAATAGAAAATTCTTCGTCGAACATCATCAGATGTTGATAAAAATTCTTCATCGATAATGACATTATCAATAATAATATTGAATATAAATGTATGTAGATGTGATATTTTACAAAGAACATCATTAACCAGATGAGTATCATCAATAAATGAATTTCTATAACAAACAACAAGGTACATACAATGTAAATTTTTCTATTTGTCATATTAGATTAGATACTGTTTTCTAACAAAAAGATCCATAAATATAAAATGATATGATTTTGAATATTTGAGCAAAATCATTTGTAAGCGATGTGATGGAATACAAATACAAACTGAAACTGCTCCTATCATCGAATAAGAAATTCGAAATCAATGCTGAATTGTAGAGAACTTTTTTTTTAAATGTCTCTATAAAAAGAATTTTTCTGATAACTTTTCCCAATAATATCGTCATAGACAAATCTCGTATCCTGAAATTGTCAAATTTTTTCTTTATATAATTAAAGATATAAACTAATTAGTCTTTATTTAAATAAAACTAATCTATGTAAGAAATAACATAATAAATGAAAGAAGATTAGATTCTACTTTATAAATTTAAGAAATCTTTAAGATTTTGCTTTTTTCAAATAATGTAAATATAATCCAATAATTTCTAATTTTCTTTAGAAGATATTTTTTTTGTGAAATAACTAATTGAGAAAGAATCTTTGCAATTTTAAGATTAGCCATTAAATTTCTTTTTATCGATTGTAAAGAAGGTATAATTTTCTTAAATTGTTGTCGTACTTCATTTTTAATATATTTTTCATCATTTAATTTAATAATACAAAATGCACAAAACCTACATATGAAAATCCTGAACAATCCTTACATTCCATTCTTTTATCAAAGCATCGTTTAGCCATTGAAATTTCATTTTCTGAAAGACAAAATTTCACTATTCCAATGGCTTCGTCGGGTTTTTCTATGAGTTTAGGAATGTTTTTAATAAACGAAGAATCATATTATATTCAATATTAACGAATTTTTCATCTTTAGCTTCATCTAACCAAAATACTCAACGATCTTTTAAAATATATTCAAGACATAACAGTTCGAATATTTCTTTAGCAATGTTTGTCTTCAATTTTGAGTCGAAGTATACTATTTTGTTTCAATTTCGATAGTCTAGATGCTTCTTTATCATCTCGGTCTATTTTCTCTATTTCAATAATTAAATCTGATAATAATTCTAATTCTTTTGTCTCTGATTATCAGAATATCGATTTATTGACTTTTAAAATAAATTGTCTGGTACCTAGTGCTCTATTTCTTACTATTCTTCCACTCAAACAGTGTTGAGTAAATAACTTAAAATAACATGCGTTTCATCCTTTTCTATTGACTTGTAAATGTACTTTCGAAGTAGACAGATCTGCAAATTGAACATTATACAAATCAGATAAAAAACTACAAGAATTTTCTGATCCTAATCTATTGGTTAATCCATAAAGATAATGTTTATATTTTTGAAAGCAACTTTTAAACTTTCAACAGATCATTTTCGCCGATATTGTCATTTTAAAAACTAAGGTAAACCATTATTCCATCGTACAGAATATTGCTCAGCTGCAGTATCTTTATCAACTACGATTATGACTCTTTGTTTTTTTTAATGTTTTGTTCATCTGTTTTAGATATATCTAAAACAAAATGATCATATTCGTGCATGATCTATGCTTGATATACATAATCTATCCAATTTTTTATTTTATAATCAACACAATTATGCAAATAATCTGATACACTTAATAAATTTAGAAATATTTTCTATGTGATCAGACATATTATCGGCAATATTAACTTTTACTCGAAGTACTGCGGACCAAATATTAATATATAATGTTTCGAACCATTTAAAACCTTGAATTTGATGAGACACATATTATCGACTTCATCAACAATTAAACATTTATTTCTATTTTCATATCGTTTACCAAAAAGCTTTTTACTATTAAAATTCAACTTCGAAAATATCTCTTTGAAATGCTCCGATTTCTCTATAAACGATACTACTTTTAGATCCATTCAATTTTTGTCTGTACAATTGATAATTAACATCATCATCATCACCACTCTCAAGTTTTAATAATTGGAAAAGTGAACGAGATGTTTGTTCTCCATGCATAACTGAATCTCGTTTACTAGAAACAATATCAATAGCATATCCATATAGTGCCAGAAATGCAGTAGTTAATCTTGAAATAAGAGTTTTTCCTTCATCTGATCCAGTTTGTTGAAGAAGTCTTTTGTCTTGACTATGAATAAAATGTAATAAAGCAACTGTTTGAGTAGTTTTTAGACATTGTAGTTTATTAACAATTGACCAAGCATAAAGATATAATAGAATAATTTGATCTAAATAAAAACGGACATATTCTTCTAGATCGTCTTGATAAGATTGAACATGAAATATTTTTTTAATTTCTTGAGTAATAATTATTTTTTAAAGCTTTGTCTTTAAATATTTTTGTATCTTCGGTAATTTTTTCAAAAGTCTCTTTGCTGAATAATCAGATTTCTCGTCAGACACATACTTAGATAAGCCCATTTTTTTTTCCTAACTCTTCGAGCCAATCTTGGTAATCAAAGTTTCGAACAATTTCATTTGTTTGGTCAAACCAAATCTTGTTATAGTACATAGCTTCTAATAGTATATTTAATTTTCAATATCTTTTATTTTTGTTTTATCTATTTTTTCTGAAACTTTTCGAAAAAAAACGTAAGACATATTATGTAGATTTTCTATTTGATTTTCCAGAGAAAATATTAAACTGTAGTTTTCAATAATATTCTTAATCTTTCATTTTGAGATGATAATAATAACTTCTTGATTGTTAAACGAATATCTTCAAAATATGACAAACATTGTTGTACTTTTACGAATATATTTGCATGTATCTTTTTCTC